CTTTTATAAATAAATATTTATAAACAATCATAGTGAATAAGTACTTGATATATTGAATAATATGTTAATCTTAAGGCAGCGCTGTGAGAGTTTTGTGTACAATGTCTTACGTAAATAAAATAGGTATCATGTTATTATTGGTGACAAACACAATTATGTTACGTTGTATTACTAGTTCGATCATTAAGGAGGAAATATGGGGTTTGCCTGGAATGTTTTCCGGGAGTTTTGAAAATTGGCAATATTGTTGATTTAATGTTCTCTTTCTGCTTTCCATTTTGCACCCTCGTGCGTGCGCCGCCCACGCCGCTATCTTGAACCTTTGGGTACTGATCGAGACATTGCAGATCAAAATTTCGACCGGATTATTTGAGACGCATTTTTGCAGATTCATTGCAACCATTTTTGTTTAAAAATAACGACTATGACATATCGATGGGTGCCCAATACGAAATATCCTACGTGAAATTCATCAGAAGCAGCCCAGGGCAGGAGATTATGTCAAGTTCCTATGATGTGTATCGTCATCACATTAGCATTAGGTCTTCAAAGGACTTCACTATAAAAAGAATCCGCCGCTTGCCATACTTTCACGTGGTGTTGAATTTTTTTTCCCAAAATGCCTATAAAAATGAACTTTGCTGTGCTCGGGCGACAAAACTTATATTACGAAAAAGCTCTCTAGACATGAATTGTAGGAAATTGTGAGTATGTACCTAGTTTAAATTTGTAGTCAACGTTTTTCTCCTAAAATGCACAGCGAAAGAGATATTGAAAAAAACTGTTTTTGACTGCCATTTATCCAAGATAGCGGCGCACGTACGAGGGTGCAAAATGGAAAAAAGAGAGAGCGCATAAAATCTAGAATATTTCCAATTTTTAGAACTCCCGGCAAACATTCCAATTAGAACTCTCAAATGACTGAACTATACAGAGATACCGAAGAAAATCCTTGTTTATAATATGATCTGTTTTTCTTTGTTTTAGCTTGACATTTACACAAGTTAAGTGACAAAAACATGTACACAATGCACAGACTCGCGCCTTTTACCATGTAGGTAGGCAGATTCATAGAACACCTCCTTATAATTACCCCTCTTCAGGTTTTTGAACGCCTTGGCGAAAAAATTCATGTTACCTATTCTATCTGCGAGTTTACTCCTACTCGTATCAATCTTTTTACAAATATCTGATTTTTTATATAAAACCAAGTACTCCCACGCATTATCACCTACTACTCGGTCCCTATTGACCGTAGCGTCATGTTTAATCGTATACATATAATATACAGCTATAGAGAAGACGCAGTCATGTGAAATTTAAGAATTGAGATTATTTCGTTTATTTTTAGGTTCAATCAAAATATTTTTTCTTTAAATTGCATAATGTATTCTGAAATCATTCCATTATGTTGTTGTGTATTCAGTTTAAAAATTTATTAATCTTACTTTTACCAAAGTCTAGGTACAAATGTATGTTTCATTTTAACGATCCATTTCCATTAGTAAATATTTTATAAATAATAGTATATTCGTTAGGAAAATGCCACTTGAGACTACCACTTCTATTCAGAGGCCTAGAAATTCTCCGGAACGAAATTTAGCTTAATATCTAATTTTAATATCTGAGGCTCTCTAACATTTTCCAACACATACGAAGAATAGAATCCGAAGTTTCGTGAAATAAAAACGATAGTAGATATGCTATTTGACACAGATTATTCAAAACATGACAAAATTTCGTTACGGAAACAAATGTATACACTAAATTATTCATACCATATTAACAATGTTACTTGTGTATATAAAACTTGATTATAGAACTAGGCTGTCCCGGTAACAGCTGGGGCTAAACTGTTTGACTCACTCTTTGAATTCTTTTACGGAATTGTAATAAAAGTAACGAATTTAATTATTTAACTGAAATTCCATGTATGATTGTGTCAGACATGTTAGTTAGTAAGTGGTATAATATGTAAGAGCAAGCTTACACACGTGTAAAACGAAGCAGGATATAAATATGTGGTCGGTGTATCGTTCTACTTAGCTGCTGTGAGCAGATTGTACAAAGAATTAATTAATGAATCGCAATAAAAATCAATATCTAGTGCAAAATAATACAAGTCGTTATTAGGTCTAACCTTTATCCTCAGGTTCGGCTGAGTATACCTTCTTAACGACTTGTGTTACTTGAACTATCACCTGTGATGTTACCATTTGTCAGGATTGGATGTACATTGCAGCTATCTATAACATTATAATTTGCAGGCTGATTGTAATACAAAATTTGTGTCTAATATTTTTAGTAAGATATAACATAAAATGTTAGTAGTAACTAGGTACTATAAGTGATATTTTTTCAAAAGATTAATATATTTTATTTGTGGAAATATACATTTTAATATTGGATGTGTCTCTTCATTTCTCCTTTTAGAGTTCTACAGTCCTTTTAGGGGAGCATGGTGGCGCCACCGTCACCGTTTGGTTCTACTCCATGTTACATACATCTAAACGAGAACAAAAAACTATTCATTATGTAATAGATCATTCTATATGCAATAGAAAAACATTTTGTAGTCTAAGGCGACAGTAGTCAGCTATTTAACTACCTATAAATATATGCGAAAACTTGTAACTGGCCTTACTTTAATCATAGTTATATATGTAATTGTCAATTATAGCTAAGTTTTCTGAGTGAAAAAAAAAATAGCAACAAGGGCTTATAAAATACTAACGAAGGTTCATAAAATCTGAAATAATTTTGCGATAAGTCAGTTTCTGTTTTCTTACTTAGATATTTATCTACCGCGCGGCTGTAGGTATTTAACTCTGGCATGCGGCCGAGTTACACTACTGTATGATAATATTACCATAGTAATACTTCCCCTCTTACGTCACTAAAATGCTTTAAATTAAACGTCTCATTATTCTACACCAGTGCCATCTAGGACTTGAAATGAAATTCAAAGGGTTGAAGTTTCTTATACCCTCGGTTAGATGTCGCTGCAAGTCTCTTCACATGATGCTTTCATCTAAAGGTGCTCCCATACAACGTTATACCACATTGTGTAACACTATAACATTTATAACAGCGTGTACTATACTCTACAGCATGTCAAGTTACTACTACAACTTTTGTTATAATTTGTTTAAATATATGATAAATACATAAGTCAGTAGACAAACTGCAAATAACTTGTTGCTCTTTTTTAAACGTTGCCACACAATAGGATTTTGTCCTGTGTCGTGGGTGCGTTTACAAACATACAAATTCACATACACATGACACCCAGACCTGAAACAATTATTTGTGGATCACACAAAGACTTGCTCGATGTGGGAATCGAACCCGCGCACGTTGCGCGGCAGCCGATTGACCAGCCACCGCTCCAACAGTGTTGTCAAAAAGTAACTGCTGTGTGGGAGTACCTTATCGTTCCCTGAAAAGTGTTAGGTTCATCAGACAGTGCTGCTGTTTGCTCGGTCTTTTTCAATAGCGGGAGAAAGGGGAGGGCCAGCGACTGACTACAAACTTAATTATATGAAGACTGATCCACTTGCCTGATTATGATAATGAACAGTCACTGCGTAAGTATTATATTGAGATATCTGTCTATGGCAGTCCGTCACACAGATCCACTAACCTAGACTAAGTATACATCTGCACTAGCTATAAATAGATTGTATCTTTCACCTTGACTAAATAAGCTGTGATCCATGGAATGATTTGAAGTAAATGGTTGGTTTCCATCCACGCCGTATCATCACTTACCATCAGGCGAGGTAGTGGCCAATAAAAATAAGAATAATTTTGATAGCATAACATAACATCACATTATCCCCGAAGCAGAAGCAGAGGTGCACATTATGCCACTGTACAATGTAACACCCACTTTTCACTATTTATGTTATGAGTCCCATGTAATAGGGGGTGAGCCTATTGCTATATACCGGGTACAATTCCAGACTCCGTGCTACTACTGAGAATTAAAAAAACCCGTAGTTCTTTGCCCAAGCCGGTCACCGACAACTTGGCCAACGAGGCAGGCAGAGGTAATTTTGATAGCATCGCGAGTTTTTATAATACCGCTCATGCGCTTGGCGCTCGCTGCCCATGCGACGCGGCCCACTTCGTACAATGCTAGTCTTTATGTAAACACCAAACATTTAGTTGAGTAGTTTAGTCAATTGCGAATGATTTTGAGACAGTAGGGAGAGAGTATTACTAAATTACTCATTACTCGCCTCGATACTAGCGTAGTGTGAACGAGTTATTAAATCTACATCTCTTTTGCATCACTGTGTCATCAGATGACACACAAGAATACTCGTCACTCAACTGTAGGTAAGCTGTTACACCTAGGTATATTACCTATTATTATGGCCATAACATGTGTATTTTTTTATGGGACAAGCCTGCTACAACCTCCCAAACCCGCTGGAACTCTTGTAAGCCAGGAGCTGCAGTAGATACAACCATGAAAACACCGGAACACTTAGTTAAGTTTTTTTTTTATACTAGGTCGACGTTTGACCGCCATCTCGCCTGATGGTAAGCGATGATGTGGCCGACGATGGAGTTCGGCGCATCTCAGGGACACGAATAATTGTTTTGGTTCCTGCATCGAAGTAAATCAGAAGATATTATAAGAGGAGAAAAAAACTATAGTTTCCACTTCCCTCGCTGAATTACTGCAGGAGACAGAATGAATTAAGCCTAAAGGCACAAAAAAGAGACTGTACAACTGGGTGAAGCCCAGTCGCCATGTGTATTGTATAGTATCAACTTTTGGCAATGATTTCTTAGATACCAAAAAATCTCGTGTCTCTGGACCATTTTAATTTGCTGAAATAGGACCGCCTAACTTATAATTAATTTGGGGTGCACAATGCAGTTCATTTCTTGGAAAAGAATAAAAAAACTTTTTTGCTTTCACATATTTATTATAAATAGTAATAATATAATATTTTTCATCTTTTAAAGATATCGATAATTTTTAAAGTTAACATCAAAATATCCTATATTATTTTGTAAAGAGGTAGTAATATAAAACTAGATTACGTCACACTTACACTATGTATATAATTTAATATAGTATTATAATAAATAGATGGGCGTGTCTTTGGGGTTTTTGGTATGAAATTAAAAAAATATAACTATGTTTAGAGGCAGCTGCTAATGGACATGAGGCCCATGCGGGAGTCGCGGGTGACTAGGCCGGGCCGAGTGAAGCCCCGTCGCGTCCGAGGGATTGTGTGCGTGCTGGGCACACACGACATGGCTCTAACACTGTCAACAACAAACAAAATAATTATTAACATATTTTTTCACATAAATCTAAGTACCTAGTACTTGTCTTTGAATTTGTCGATAAAAGGCGCGACATTTATATGTCACTACTCACCGCGTATCCCTCGGGCGATCGTAAGGTTGGCTGTATCTCCGACACGGAAGCTCACATAGAGAACAACGTCGTTTGCTGAAAATAAAATTAAAATATGAAACAGCTGTAAATATTTTAAACACATTGTGGATCACACAAAGTGTTGTACTGTGTGGGAATTGAACCCGCGACAGCTGGTTTCCCAGCTACTTATCAACCGTGCAGTTCTGTCAATCTGCATTTGAGAACTTATCTCGATTTAATTAAGAAGAAAGTATTTTGCATAGAATATTTGTATAGGTACGAATACTTTATTTGAATACGTCAAATACATATGTATATTTATCACTATTCAAGAAAAACGGAAATCAATGCAATTTATACTGATGTAGAACACTTACTCCTTTGTGTAAGCCTCGTGTGCTTCGAGCGAGCGCCGTTGATAATAGTGGTACCGGGACGGGGCTGATTCGCAGGAACATCGCCTAAAATTATAATTCCAATAAATGCCTTCATCTAAAAGTCCTTTGTGATGTTAATAAACGTGACTGAAAAACGACGTACCTAGGTGGTATAGGCACACTCCTGACGGACTCAATACTTGATAGGAAATCTGTTAAGGGACGGTTGTCTGTTGGGACGTGCACGGTCGCTGTGTGCTGCCTGAAAATTAATTCGTGTTAAAATATTCGCTACAGACTTTAAGGGCACAAGGGACTTAATGGAAATGTTTCGTTTTAGGTTTAGAAAGAGCACAGCACGAATGACGACGCAAATAGGACAGTTGTAGGTATATTTCGTCCATTTTAAAAGTACAAGGGTCGCAATCGCAATATAAAATAAACCTTTGCTGCTTATGCATGACAATCTCGAACTTTTTCATCGACAATATTAAATCAACACCTGATCTTCAAAAATAACTAATTATAATCATATTGTCCAGCTAATGAGTAAGAAATAACGACGATGATTTCAATATAGTAGTTTCCACTTCCTACTTTGCTATTTTTTAATTGTGAAGAAAAGTAAAAGTGAGCAAACGACGCATAGCCAGATAAATAATTATTTAACAAGAAACCGCTGCGATAGCACAAATTTATATTTTGGCATTTGCATTCAGTTAAATTGCATTGGCCGCTTTTGCTATAATTTTTGATAGCACCTCACATTAACATTTTCACCGCCACGACCGCTTTGCCCGTAAACTGTCAAAATCGACGCCCACGCAGGCTTCGCTGAACGCCGTACGGTCATGACATTTTTATTCAAACATTACTGAAAGCAACACATTCGTTAATTATAATCAAGTTTTACGCAAAAGAAAAAAATAATAAAGATTTTTAATAAAATAAACGAATTTATTTAAATATTGAAATGTAAAATGAAAGTGCTTGCAGTATTTTTATTTCAGTTGAATGTGGAACGTGGCGGTCAAAGGTTAACACGTGAGTGACGAGTTATAGTTAAATGGGAAACTCAATCTTATATGCAAAATAAAACCGTTTAAAAACGAAATTCTATATTGTATACACATATTGTATACGCCATAAAAGATATAAGAATATCAGAAGATCATATAAGAAGCGTCTATAATACCAACTATAATAATTTCTTTTCAAAAAACGTTATTTCACAGTAGGTTTTTCTCCTGTGTCTTGGGTGAGTTTACAAACATACAAGTTCACATACACATGGCACCCAGACCCAAAACAACAATTTGTGGATCACACAAAGAGTTGCTCCGTGCGGGAATCCAACTCGCTACACGTTACGCGGCAGCCACAGTGCCAACCGTGCAGTTAATAAAAAACAATTATGGTTGGGTTGCTTTAGTTTTGAAAGACATCTATGAAGTACTATCCCATCACCCAATCATCGTATGCCATAACAGTATGAGCATAAGACCATCTATGAAGGTACCTACCAACCCTTTCACTGACCAAACCAAAAAGATACTAAACAAGTAGATATATTTTCCAAATCCATACGTCGTATTCCAATGATCATTGAACGCAGAAAAAAAAACAAAACACGCCTTTATAGTATACATATATATAGTTATACATCGTATACAATGTATAATTATATATAATTATACATCGTTGTATCCTCTTCATTTGGGGATATAGATATTATTGTGATGAGCACAAACCTGATAACTTATAATTATGTTAACCGATAGGTAATACATAGCTTATGGATCCATCTGCCGCCGTCCGATGTCAACATCAAACCAGCTCAATGGTACCATGATAATGCACGGTCCTTTAATGTAAACACGGCCACATCAATCTATACAAAACCAGTTTAACCTGGTGTCGCGTCGCATCATCTTTCCGCACATTTAACGTTCAGTTTATACTGGTTATGTAAAGCTCGATGTGTAGCCGTGTGTACATACATAACTATAGTCGCCAAGTTTCATGACGATACCACATTTAAAGTGTGTAATTCAGATTCTTAGATTCTATTTCTACATGCACAAAATAAGTACTTACTCTTCGTAATGACTGGGACCTGCTTCTACCTCGGACCAGTTAACGTTGTTTGTCGAAGACGGTCTATCCCACTGCCTCACAGTCATGGGGATGTCATCCATTCGAGGTATGTCCGATATTGTTCTGTAATAGTTTACATAGTAATCTGAACCAAAGTGTCTAAGTTGATAGGAAATAAATAGAATGTAATATGTTAATCATAACGTCTTTTAATCCCCGAAACAAAGGCCAAATATGTGCCATTACCGATTTATCACCCATTTTCGGGAGTATTTCGGGTGATTAGTGTGTTAAAATTAACAAATTCTTCGGCTTCATAGTAATAGATAGCTTATTGTTATACATATAACTACAATTTCAGCATTCCAGAGTCTGTGTTTTACTCGCCCAAATCAGGAATTGAAACCATATCCAAGGACCCTTCACTTGGCAGTTAGGAATCACTTGAGGCAGTAACAAATAAATTACCATAGGTAATGTTTTTCTTTAATAAGTTTTTTGTTGTAGCTTACATTATATGTCGTGTCCTGCCCGAATGTTGCCGCTGATGTTGTTGCCGCCATCGTATCACGCAATCTGATTGGTCCCAACGCTTTTTAACGGCCTTCAAGACCTGTAACAGGTGATTTATTAAAGATAATAAAGAAGTTTAGTAATAAGTTATACAAAAGTCATAACGAAACAGCATAATGTTGTCTGTGCCTTAACTGACTTAGAAAAGGTAATATTGAGTAGTAGAGGATGAATCCATATATGCGGTAAACAGCTAACTATTGACAGACAAAATGGAATTGCCCCGATTTACAAAATAAAGATTACCATTCTGTTCGTCGTTTTTTAAATCCAAAGTATCACATTTACTATTACTGTCTCAATATTCTTAGAACTGCAATTATTGTCGCTAGACAAGTGTTCTGTCCAACAACTTGGATCCCAGCTTGAAAACACTTGTTAGACGCTCAGAGTGTTGAGTGGTATCCTTATTTCCATAACGGTATGGTATTATGCAGCTGACAAAAAACTAGTTCCATACAAACCGCAGGAGTTATTGTAATATCTATCTGTAGTCTAGACAGATAAAAAATCTTTGTGAAATCTAGCAAAATTAATGTAATCTCAGTTTCCTATATTAGCAATATATGTGTTTACATTGCTTAGTTATTAAATAACTAATTTGGATAAAGCTATTACGAAAAAAACTTTGACCTAGACTAGATTTAACATAATAGGCTAGATACCTATTTTTTATTTTAATGTGCGCCTGGTAGATTGTTTTAAATCATTCGACACGTATTTTTTATATATTGATTTGAAATGTCACTTCTATGTACATTTTATACGTAGAAGTGACGTTTTAGACCCCACTTCTTAACTTTGATTCGTTTTATCTAAGTATTCTTTTATTATATGACAAAATAAAAAAAATACGTGTCTATTATTTTTTCATTACCTAACTTACGGACTAATTAGTTTTTTGATTTTCAAACCCTGTCCTTATCCCAATTGTATATAGCCTTTGTATTTAGTTAGATGTTGTGCCTACTTATAATAACCTGTCTATCGAAATGATTGACTTACCTCGTCATTGGTAAAACAATAGATTATACTTATGAAGAGGCCTTGGAAAGAGCGGAAAAAGTGAGTGACGTAAGCCCAGATCGCAAATCCAATGGATGATCCTTCCAAAGGGTATTCAAACAAGTTAAAGATGTTAATAATTCCCAGGAGTGGCAGCAAAATTAGAGTAGCTCGGATCGCCTTCCTGCAAACAATAAGAGAATATATTAAACACTGGAATATCAACCAATTATTGATTGGTTAGTTCTTTTCTATTCTTTTTCCACTTACTTAACTTTCTCGAGTTCAGAATCATTTGTCCTCCTAAGTTTCGTGATGATAACAGCCAACACAGTAACCAGGAAAATGGTGTTAATCTGCGAAACAATCATACTGTAAGTAATAGCTGATTTTAAACAGTAAAATGTTGGCGATATACATTTTTCTTTTAATAGTAGGTAGGTAATGTACCGATAAATTTTTGCGGACGGGGTCGCATTGTATCGAAACCCTTGAGTCTGAAGAGAGCCCGAGGATGTTTTTATGAGGTCATGGCTAAATCCCGTGCCAGATACTGGCGTAGGCTGGACGATAAAAATCGTAAAACTTATCGGGTCAACTTCTGTACGACTGCTAAGTTGAGTAAAAATCAATGAGTCATTTAATTAATGAAATAGTTTGTTTACTCATTTTTATAGGACAACCTTCCAAAACCGCTGTAACTCCTTAAAGCCAGGATCCAGATTAGATACAACCATAAAACACCGGAACACTGAAGTCCGGCGCGTCTCAGGGACATGAATAACTGTCTTGGTTCCCATGAAGAAATAAATTAGAAGATATTAAAAAAGGAGAAGAAAAACACGATAGTTTCCACTTCCTTCGGTGAATTACTGCAGGTAACAGTCTGTTTACTTATCATTTGATAACGTAGTATAGTAGGTAGCTTCTATATTTCTAAAGGTGATTCAATGTTGCGGGTCGTGGTTCCAACCTAACCTAACCTACTATTATGTAAATCCTTTAACTCTTCATCTGACAGCCTGAGTGAGATATTCAATGAAACGGCTAGTCATACAGGCTGTAACTTAAGAGTCTGACACTCCCGCCTCACCCAGGCGGGAGAAGTCATTCTATGATTTTACCCCCTTAAAAAAAATATAGGCTGTAACCTAAACGCCTAATTGAGCTAGTTGCTTGCGTCATTTACACTATCAAATTTGAAATTAAACATCTAGAAACACATGATGTGCACAACGATACAAAAAGCAAAACAAGTTTAGTTTTATATGAAGAACCAAATATTGTTCAGGTTTACAAATAATTACGGTATTATATGCCTGGTAGGACGTGTACTAAGTAGAATACGAAAGTGGGTCACATTGTATTCAGTACATTATAAGATTTTTTTGTTGGGCAAAAGAGGCTACATACGAATTTGGAGGATATCCGACGAGGATATTTGGAGATAGAGTACGGAACTTCACGTTGCTGATCAAAGGAAAGCGAGAATACAAGTAGATCAAGTTGTAATGTCTTACTCCACAGCCAAAGGATTAAACATTATTTTGTAAACATATTTCATTAAAAGTGATTTTTAACTACTTCGGTACTTACAATGGTGGTTTCTTTGGTGTTTTTAAAAGGAATTTGGGATAATAACTTATTTAAGTAAGTACTTATTTAATATTATAACATAACGCAAATCACGCCTTTTATGCCCGAAGGGGTAAGCAGCGTGTTAGCAGCAGTGAGCCCATTGCAATATATCGGCAGAAGTCCAGACTCCGTGCTACTACTGAGAATTAAAAAAAAACCAATAATACTTTGTCCGACCCGGAAATCGAACCTGAGACCCCTTGCCCGGTAATCGCACTTTCGACCACTCGGCCAACGAGGCAATCAATAGGTAGGCATATAATATGAGAACAATGCATATGCCTGTTTCCTTTTTCGTAATGCGACGATGATAATTATTATCTATATAACATTTAATATAGGTACTATTTTTTTTAAGGCGGAACATCATCGAATGACTGCTCCCACCTGGGTGAGACGGGAGGGAGTGTCAGACTCTTACTGACTAAAAACCACCCCGTTCCTTCTCCTACACTTCGAGCCGGAGCCCCGGTAAACCGTTAGGTTATCCGCCACAATATAGGTACTATATGAGTTAAATTAGGCATTGTAAAATTAGTTAAATTTAAAATAATTAGTTAGATACTTACAATCAAGATACCCACGATTGGTCCATTGATGATATAGTAAGCCGGGAGGTAGTTGTAGCCGAACCAGCACCTGTTACAACAGCTTTATCACAACTCTGCCACACTTCTTTATAAATAGTCATAAAAATTTATCAAAAATTTATCCAGCGTAGGCGTTTGATAAACGTATACGTCGCGCAGACGTCACGACCACGCGTCGCTGTTGTCGCGGTATCAGTGCAAGGGTAAATGAATACGCACCGTCAGCGCCGAAGTGCGCCGCGTTACTGCATATATTTATCGAACGTTAACGCTGCACAAATGCTAGTGTGAAGACACTAAGTCCCGAAACAACAATTTGTGGATCACACAAAGAGTTGTTCCGTGCAGGACTCGAACTTCCGACACGTTTCGCTGCGGCCGGTTGCCCAGTCACAGCAACAACCGTGCAGTCCAACCAATATCCTACGACGTTATCTTTTTATGTTGGTATAAAATAGTTAATGGCCAAAGCATTTTTTTTTTCAATTAATTCTTAATAAGACACTTTTGAAACGTCAAAAATATAATTGGCCGTCCGTCTGTTTATTACAGCCAGTTTTAATAACCTATCTATATTGCTTACTAGAGATAGAATTTTGATATGAGCTCCATAAAAAAAGTGTCAAAAATCTATCTCTATAATAGTAGGCAAATCTACAGATAGATAGGTTATTGAAATTGGACGTTAGGGAAGCTAGGCGCTATAAATAGCTTTACTTACGTATTAAATCTCTCTGCTGCAAAATGACGTCCTGTCAATGTTGCCCACATTCCGACAATGAACGTAGGTATCACCCATCCCCCGAAGTAAAAGTATATCACATTTATCTCATTGCGGAGCGTGTTGGCTGATATCATGGTGTTAAGAAAAACGCCTTCAATGAACATCCAGGAATACACGCTGAGACGAGCATACTCCAATAACACATATACGCCCTCACATACATATGGCTGAAACAAGAGTTACATAGTAAGTGAATATTATTTAAAACCACAGCTTTTTTGGACAAAGGCAAAGGTGAGAATTATCATAAACAAATTGTTGTAGGAGGTATTTTATAAAAAACATACTTATACATATTACCTCTATATTGAATGGCCTTCAAGATTAACCCCATTGAGACACAATAGAAAACACATTCTGTCTCGCGGGTTTAGAGTATGTATCAAATAACAGATCGATCTATCAGTAAGAGGGGTAAAATTACAATGACTAATGTTAAACCAAATAAATAAACAGGGCAAGCTAGATAAATCGTTTAATAATAACAATTATTGCCCTAGTCAAAATTGCTCCCAATTTTACAACAATGCTTTATTAAAAGCACACTAATGTTGTTAAACATTGGCACGTTTTCCTACGCGCTTCGCAGGCGCCTACATCACTTCGGCAGTACTGTAGCCCGTGGAGAGTCACTTGTGATCAGAATTTGTCGGGTTCAACATTTCAAGTGGAAAATCTGAGTCAGCAAGATTACACGGATTCCTGAAGTACCCTCCAGCCACTGCGGTGGTCGGCCGTCAGAACTTTGAATATAATAAAATTAATTTGAAAATCTTAAGAAGGTAGCTCTCTAGGTCTTTTGCTAGATGACCCCTATCTAAGGTTAGGGTTTTTAATTACTAAGTAATATTAAGTACCTAATTTAAAGTGTCTATTACTTTCTAATACGATTACTTTTATGCATAAATGAGTGAAGTGCTGAGGTTGATAATGTGATTCTGATGCTGACGATGTGGGCAGATGACATTGGTTTGACTTTTAAAATGTGTCCTGATCAGTCTCTGTCAGATTTGTGAGAAAATACCTTGTCGTTCTTACGATACTAGCGGGAAAAATAGTGGTGGTGATAACGGTATCTTGAGGGCTGAGTAATGAGGTCACAACGAGACCACGTTCGGCGCTCTGATTGGCTGGTTCATTGGAGGCGGCCTATCAGAGCGCCGAACGCGGTTTCGTTTCGATCTCGTTAAACGTAAAACTACTACTAAGCCCTCTGCCAAGGACGTTGAAATAAAATGCAAACATAATGTTACTTAGAACTGATTGAGGTAACAAAATGTCAGTGGTGTATTTATGTATGCGTATACTGGTAACACCGAAAAGTATGAAGTGAAATAAAGGGCCACGTCACGCGACAGATGTCCTTCGTATCAAAGTATGTGTATCCTGCGTGTTAGTATAAAGTAACCAGTGCCTTTAGCCAAACGCCACTTTAGCGCTTGTCTACAGAGAGAGTAGAAATCAAAATGTATGGGGATGTTACTGACTAGTGTCAAAATTTACGTCAATTTCATATAATTTAGTTTTCTACTCTATAAGTAGACAAAATGCATTTGGCTAAATGGCATTTGGCTACAGCTGCTGGTGCTTCAGTCGTTGTTTCAAGAGACTGTGTTCACCTTTTTTCTACGTCCTTGTCCTCTGCAAGGCCTCTCTACAATACTGCCCTCTGGGTATATTTTTACTCACCAAGTTTTCGATTCCCTTTCGCGCATTTGCTACAATGGTCCGTTTGTCCAGCATGTAAGCCTGGGCTTGTTGCGTGTACAGTAACATTCTGATAGTAGTCTCCAAAAGCAGAGCACAAAACAGATTCCTATGTATTAAAGTCCGTCGGTTGTGAAGAGATCTGTAAAATAGAAAATAATGGTACCTTACACACCTAATAGTACAGGTTTTTATTTGATAGGGTAGTTTCTAAATTTTATTTTAATGTCCGTCTGGTAGATTAGTTTAAAACATTAGACATGTATTTTTTCGTTTCGACGATATATTAATTTGAAATACCATGTGACGTCACTACGTGCTATATTTAGTAGAACCTCCATTTAAAGGATTCCAAGCATTTTATGTATTGTAACTTTATACGCGAAAATAAAAAAAATACATGTCTAATACTTTTCATTATGTAACTTACGGACTAATTAGATTTTTAATTTTTATACCCTGTCAATTACCTTATTAGTGACTAACAGATTCATTTTTTTAAACCAGCAAACGGGTCGCCTATTTGTAAACAATTGGGGCTACTTATGTATGTACATTCATAACGCCGAAGGAGTTACAAGTGTATCTTATGGCTTGAACATTTGGGGACTGGGTATTAGGGATTTGGGAAATGGGGATTAGAGATTTAGGGATTTGGGATTGGTTTTTTTTAAGGGGGAAAAATCATCGATTGACTGCTCCCGCCTAGGTGAGGCGGGAGGGAGTGTCAGAGTCTTGACTGACTAAAAACCACCCCGTTCCTTCTCCTGCACGTCGAGCCGGAGCCCCGTTAGGATCTCCGCGACTGGGATTGGATAATAATGTCTATTCTTAGTAATAGACAAACGACCCTCGAAACTATAGTAGAATTACCTACTTTATTGCAACTTTTGAAGGTTTTAAAAGATAATTTACGAACAATCACAAAGAAGTTTCTTTTAAATGATAATGTATTTTTTCTATTTTTTATAAGCCTTGCCCCACACTAGGATTTTCTTCTATGTAGAGGTGAGTTTTTCAATATACAATTTCATACACACATGACACCCAGATACCCAGTACAAAGAGTTGCTCCGTTCGGGAATTGAACCCGCTCCTCGTTGGACGGCAGCCGGTTGCCCAGCCACCGTACCAAGCATGCAGTCGAGATACAAGGTAAGTAAGTAAGTAGCCCCTACAAAATGCACATTTAAGAATATAAAAATAATGATACTTACGGGAAAGCGCTGAAAATGTAGAGAGACAGCATAATACCAACAATCGACAGCACAATCCCTATCATCTCCACAGTTCTTGTGTTTACAGCAGTTTCAAATTTAAGCTGAAACAAAAATTAAATCGATGAATTTAATACGAAATGATATTAAGTCCAAGAAACTTTAACTTAATCGTTTTAGTCCCTTGGATTTTTCAAACAACACAACATCAATATTACTACAAACTTACTATATTTAATAATAACTATCGAGAGTCATACTGAATTATCTAAAAATATATGAGTTACACACGTAAATATACTGAGAAAAGCTCTACTAGTTTCGAGTCACAGAGGGGCGCTTTCTCATGAGCAGCGTGCGCACTCGTGGCGATGTCGCGCAGCCTACTCATGAGGAAGAGCATTTCTAAGAATATGTACGTGAGAAGCTCTTTATTTATAATCAAAACTTACTAATAATATAGTTAAACCTGATGGTAAGCAATCAGCGCCGCCCACAGACTTGGACACTGGCAAGACTATAATGTTTTCAGATATCAAAACTAGAAACATTTTTATCTGCAAGTGACTCAACAAAATCACAACATTGGGTAAGTTCGCCTGTACGCGTCCACCCTACCAAAGTTCGCCTTTTTGCGTCCATCCACCAGTCCGCCTCCATTTGACTGATCGCCAAGAAATTAAAGGTACTTATAACATGAAAAAGTTACCTAAATATACATAATATATGTTATGAATGTCGGACAGTGTATCGCGCTCCGATATACGGGAAGAGATGCGGTCAGTTATGAATGAATTTATGAGCGAAATGAGGAACACCTTAAATGCTGAATTACGTGAACTAAGGGACCAAATAACTGGTTTTAAGGATTCTCTTGGCTTTCTGAGTGCTCAATTTGACAATCTGAACAGTGATGTTGCCGCTCATAACTCGACGATTAAACTACTTAAAAGTGAAAACGAGCAGCTTCGGTCAGAGGTCGCCGTTTGGTCTAATCGTGTCAGACAGATGGATCAGCTGTCTAGATCAACAAATATTGAACTACAGTGCGTGCCCGAGCACAAATCTGAAAATGTATTATGCATTGTTAAACAGCTTGGTCAAGTTGTCAAGTTTCCCATTAGCGATGGCGACATAGCTTATTGTTCACGCGTTGCTAAGTCTGATCCTAAGTCGTCTCGTCCACGTACTATCCTGGTGAAATTCAACATCCCTCGCATCCGGGATTCCCTGCTGGCGGCTACTATACAATACAATAAGAATAACCCGAGTAAGAAGCTGAACACCAGCACACTGGGCCTAGATGATAAGAAGATAGCGATATTTGTTACTGAGAACCTTACAATGGAAAATAAAAACCTGCACGCCGCTACCCGACTTCGAGCTAAAGAACTAAATTATAAATTTGTGTGGGTACGAGGAGGACGAGTTTATGTACGTAAATCAATCGAGTCGGAAAAGGTATTTATACGCAATATGGACTCATTGAATAAATTAATCTAATCATTATTTTTTTTTTTCTCAATATTATTGCTTAGAACTAATATCTTGTAACGATACTTAACTGTTCACATTCTCTGATTTAATTAGTTGTTATTATCAAAATGTGAGAGGGTTGAGAACCAAAACTACAGATTTTTATTTGAATATACTAAATTGTAGCTATGACGTTATTGTACTGAGTGAGACTTGGTTGGCAGGCGACATATTGGATTCTGAGTTATTTTGCAACCGATATCTGGTTTATCGGCGTGATCGTGAGTCTAGTGGGTTTCATAACAAAAAGTCTGGTGGCGGTGTGTTAGTGGCGGTATCTAAGAGGCTAAGATCTTGTCGAGTGGCTAATTGGGAGAGTAAATGTGAGGATGTGTGGGTGTGCGTAGATATCTGTATGAACAAACAACCAGCCAAACTTTTAATTTGTGCCGTGTACATTCCGCCACCGGTGCAAAAACATATTATGGAACATTTTATCGACAGTGCAAATAATGCCTTGGAACATTTCAATTCCACGTTAATACTGGGTGACTTCAACCTAAGTAGCATTGAATGGAAAGGTTCACCGGGCACACCGCTTGTAGCTTCATTAAATAAAACTGGAATTTATGAACAAACACTGTTAGACTTTATTTACCTGAATAATTTAAATCAATACAATTGCGTTTACAACCATAATAACAAAATACTAGATCTTGTCTTGACCGATAAGAATATTAAATGTATTAGTATATCTGAAAATCCTCTAAGTAACATAGACTTGCATCATCCCCCCTTGAATTTCACTTAGTGTGTAGTTTGCACGAAGAAACTTTACGCCCAAATCTGGAACCGAAATTTAAATTCTACAAAGCAGATTATACTAAAATTATTCAAGAATTAGGTGACATATCGTGGCAAGATTTGTTTTCACAATGTTGCGACGTTGATTCAATGGTAGATTCATTTTACAAAATTATTAATGATGTTATTGAAAAATACGTACCCAAGACGAAACCTGCAACTAGTAAATATCCAGTTTGGTTTGGCAGAGATCTTATTCGCTTGCTACGAGAAAAAAATAAGTACCATAAACTTTATTCAAAATTTAAAAACCCCCTAGACCAAATATCATATCGCGTGCTCAAAGCAAGAGTATCTAAATTAACACAAACAAACTATAGGCAATACATTAAGTCAATTGAATCTTCAATCACTTCTAACCCCAAGCTCTTTTGGTCATTCTTAAAGCAGAAACGTAACGGTAATAGTACATACCCTTCGTCAATACATTACGATAATATCAAGGGTAGTAATGGAGTGGAAAATTGCAATCTATTTGCCTCATGCTTTTCATCGGTTTATGAAGGCTCTGGCGATACTAATAATAATAATAATAGTGTTGACAACATATCTATTTACGGTAACGTACCATGTAATTCTAATATTTTGACCCACCTAATACTATCGACGGATTCAGTCATTAATGCCTTGAAAAGACTGGACCCTTACAAAGGGCCAGGGCCGGACGGACTGCCCTCCATCTTTGCAATAAAATGTCGTAACCCTCTGGGGGAGCCTCTGTCTATGATTTTTAATAAATCATTGAACACAGGTTGTTTTCCGAAGTCCTGGAAAGAAGCACGAGTTGCGCCAATTTTCAAGTCTGGTGACAAGTCCATCGCGAATAACTATAGACCTGTATCTATCTTGTCTATTTTTGGGAAGGTGTTCGAAGCTTTAGTATACCCTGCACTCTCGTGGCATGTGAAACAGGTATTGATGCCTGAACAACACGGTTTCATGAAGGGCCGTTCTACGGCAACGAATCTTGCGTGCTTTACATCTGATCTAATCGACGCCGTAGACCGTGGAACACCTGTAGATGTTATCTATACGGATTTTAGCAGGGCATTTGACAAAGTGAATCACAAACAGTTAGTTAACAAATTACACCTAGTTGGAATCGCAGGAAACTTGTTGCAGTGGTGCGAGTCCTACCTTGTTGAGCGCACTTCTAGGGTGGTAGTCGGCGGTTACTCGTCGAATCTTTATTTGACACCCTCGGGTGTGCCCCAAGGATCTCATCTAGGCCCCCTGTTTTTCAACATATTCATGAATGACGTGGCATCTTGTTTTGTACATTCAAAAATTTATTTATACGCGGATGATCTCAAGATTGTTAAGCGAATGGAATGCGATCAGGATTCATACAGACTTCAAGAGGACCTAGACCGTTTCTCAAAGTGGTGTCTGGACAATAAGATGTCACTTAATGCTGAAAAATGCAGTCATGTGCATTTTTCTAGAAAATTAGGACCCCATTTCCGTAAATATAATATAAACGAAAAAACTGTTAACGAAAAAGCATTAGTTCGTGATCTGGGCGTCTACATAGACAATAAGCTGCGTTTTCATAGTCACATTGATAAGATCGCTTCTAGGGTTTTAAGATGTTGGGCTTCGTTATACGCAACAGTAAAAATTTTAAACACGCCAAAACTAAAATCGCCATTTTCAACTCAATAGTTAGGTCAGGTTTAGAATACTGCAGCACAGTCTGGACGCCATTGTACGATATTCATAAACGCCGTTTAGAATCCATTCAGAAAAGATTCCTTTGGCATTTGACGTATCAATGTCACATGGCTAATAAATTAACCAGCTACAGCTCTCGTTTGAAGTATTTTAAACTGATGAGTCTAGATAATCGCCGTAAAATCCTAGATCACCTCTTCCTGTACAAACTAATAAACAATCACATTGACTGTCCGCAGTTACTTAGCCAGATTAATGTGAATGTGCCCTTCAAACTGGCTCGAATGTCTAGATATCGGCTGCTTTCAGGTAAAGGCTTTAAAACAAGCCTGGGTCATTTTTCCTCAATTAATAGAATGCAAGAACAATTTAGTCGCCTGTCATGCTCACTTAGTGTGGATATTGACATGTCCTATTCTCTTTCTAAAGTGAAAACTGTCCTGCGTAGGACATTCTCACAGAGTTAAACTGCACTATATGCACTACATGTTCAGATCAAAATCAAAATTGTACACTTTAAAAATTAAGAAGAAGTAAAAACTAAAATTTAACAATTGTGATTGAAATTGATGTCTTTTTTTTTTTTTGATAAGCGAACTTTGTTTCTTTTTTGTTGTAATATCCTGTTCTTTTATAATGCATGTCGTGGCAGCCTGTAATTAAGGCTACACTATAGAGTGTTAAAATATTATGTAAAAAAAACCTATCATGTATTTTGGTGTATGCTTTGTTGGTTGTCCTTAAATAAATAAATAAATAAATAAATAAATTAGATCTTTTCACGTTTAACGTCCAGTTTCTATAACCTATCTTTCTGTAGATTTGCTTACTAGAGATAGAATTTTGACATGAGCTCCATACAAAATGTGTCAAAATTCTATTTCTAGTAAGCAAACTACAGATAGATAGGTTATAGAAACTGGACGTTAATATATCCATATACATTCTTTTGTTTCTTATTTTCAGGATGATTTAAAGGGCTTTCCATAACATGGACGCGAACTAGTGGTTGAAAGCGAAAAGGCGAACTCAATTTCTTTTAGAAATTTTATGAATTAGGGTTAAACACTAAATACTTACCTACTTTTGTTCCAAGATTTTGACGACAGCATACCGTGTTACCTTTAAGACTGACTTGTAAATCAAAGGAATAATTAAAATAGCAAATTAACTATGGTCTCATTAAGCATTTAAACATGACTTTGTAATCCACTGCCACGCGTTTCAATACCCGAAGGGGTAGCACATGAAAAAGGTCGAATCAAGGCGAGGCCTTACTACTAGGCTGCCTTTTGTCGCGTCGTGGCTACGAAACAACATATTATACGCCCCACCAGGGTTGCGACGACACACGTCATCGCAGCTGGGTCTTAGTTCATTCTTCGCAATGGATAGAAACAAACGTGATGACTATCCGTTGATGCAGCGCATTACCCTATATCTCACTTCGTTTCTTGTCCGTTGATCTGTGTTTAATGGGGCAAGTCATTAAAATATATGGAAAACGACGCTGTGACAATGCAATTAAGTGCAGCGCACTAAAACATGAGGCCTATGCCTAATACTTCAAACATCGGGAATTGAACTCTGAATCCTTAGGTTGGTAGTCGCACTTGCGACTACTCGATTAAAAAACTGAAATTCGTGAATCCCATTAATGACTTACCTTAATTATCTCTCCAGCGAACCATAAACAATTTTGTTTAGTTAACTGTGTATAACAATAATAATATTATGTTAAATAGTGTTAATTATAGCTTTATGTTAATTTTGTGTTAAATTGTTTTATGTCGAAATACTCAAACGCTGCTCAATTTTAAGTCGCGCTTGATTATAGTTCTGTCACTACAAATTCTTTGTCAAATGACAGAGATGGCACTATATTTAAGTACAAGGTAAAATTGAGTAACCTTTCAGTATTTGGGCGAAAGAAAACGTATCTTTTTTAACTGTGCTGTGTTAGTAACGTTACGTGTTTGTTTAGAGTCAGGTGTACAATGTAATCTTTACTTGTAGGTACACTATAACATACCTGAGCCTCAGATTTATCACCAACTTTACTCAAAAGATTTTGTACAGCTTCAGGAAAACATGGAGTATAGTTCGTCCAACCGTTAGGAGATGTATCATTAATATGCCGCCCAACCCACAACCCATCCGCACCGCACCGCCTATACGCTTGCACTAAATAAAGGGAAAAGTAAATAATAATAATTAGTAAATAAAACAGAAGAAATCAAATTTATTAGAATCATGCTCAGAGGGTGAAGACTAAAATGAACAAGGCATAAGATAGACAACCAAATCAAAATTATAAGATACAACGTGAAAATAAACACAATAGGTAAATCATAATATACACAGTAAACGACAAAACAACATAGAAACAACACAAAACCAAAAATCAAGAACCACAAACAAAAGAATTCTGTGCCCACTAGTACAAACACTAAATCTAATCGAAAGAATAGAAAAATAATGTGTTTGACACTGACATTCGACAAAATATGTCAAATGTCATGTCAAACTGACTCTTTTATCCTCTCAATTCGATTAGCGCTCATGCTATTTCTCTAGGCTAATAGTGATCTTTTTCTAGAGATCATCTATATCACTATTGAGTCACTCTCACCATCTATAAATGCGGATGAATGAGGTATATGATTTCGTTAATTTCTATCACAAGACGCACGACCATGCAAACTAAGCATTTGTTTTTTTTTGTTTTATTCGGCTAAAGTCTCAGACGTCGCGGTTTCCATGTGGATAGACGCTGAGAACTTAATTGTGAATGAGATTAACAGCCCCTTCACAATAGCATTTGTCCAGCGTAGGCGTTCGATTGACGTACACACCGCGCAGACTTTTGTCTGTTCAGCGCATACGTTTATCGAACGCTAAACAAACCCTGTTATGAAGGAGCACTTAGATCAAACAAATGGTGTTTCTGGGTATATACCTATACTGTTATACACCTATACACCCAATATAGGCCTACCGGAGGCCCTCCCTGCACTTATGCACAGGATTACGTTAAGCTCTTAAGCTTTAAGTAATCCTGTGCTCGCCTATCTCTATAAGTTACACTTCCAAATGTTTCATCTAACCCTGAATGAAAACAAGAACTGTAACTGAACAATATTGCATGTATGCCTAATTAAATGTCGATTCCAATAACCGATGGTAATAAAAGAATCCAGATTGATCTTGATTTTAGATAGAAGTTTTAAAGAACTAATGTCAAAGTAAATCTTAATTGAGATTGCTTATTGAAATCGGCAGTAAGTCCCTATATTACAACAGTACTGTTAAGCCTTTTAAAATCCAGTCTAGCTGTTGAAATTAAATATTTATACGATAAACCCAGTTGCACTGCTATCAATAAAGTACGTGTATCTCCGAATGGAGATCTTATTTAACCGAAATATCTGAAGTAGCATACGAGCCCTCAAAAAGATTTTCAATTCCATAGTTGAAGATACCTGAAGGACATTCACGTCCATATTGGCAAAGTTGAAGCAAGTCATGTTACTATTTTAGTGAATTTATTTGCAGAAGTACTGCCTACTTGAATTTTATAAACTGGGTCAAACTTGTATTATTGTTATAGATTATCTATAGACTTGGCTTCATCATATTGCACATTACGTTATTTGCTTTAGTGAACTCCATTCTGAGTAATCCTTTTTTTTGTATGGCCCTAACTAACATTATCTTCGATTAATGTTCGTTAACACAACTGTATTTTTCAACCATTCTTAAAGTAATGTGATTCCTGAAAAATATAAAATAGGTTGCAACATTAAACCTATCACAAAACCTAAAAATATTTTGGTCTTCGATTTATTGTGAGGACTAAAGGGCAGGTGGCCAGTTGAATTCAAACAACTGAAGACATACACCTAGCGATATCACTGTTTGCATACTATGACGCCACGAGGGAAACTACGCACAGTACGTACAGCGCCAGCTCCTCAAACGACCCAACACTGTCTTCCAACAACAAATTTTCAGCTTTATTAGAACCTAATAAAGTTGAAGATCTGTTTACAAAAATACAGATTGGAGTGGTCTGGTGAGCGTCTGAACTAACAAAGGCGTGACATTGACGGCTTCAAACCATGCGTCAGCTGCTAGACAGCCGTTACTTACTTGATTTGTCAATCAGATAGAAGTCGCTGGGGCACTTCTGAAACGTGGTTTCACCAGCAGGTGTCGGAGGCCAGCAGAGGTAACCATCATAAGTTGCGTTGCAGTAAATAGTATCTGGGAAATATTATGGAAATTAAAAGTAGAGTGGAATCACTCTATTTCCATATTATGTCTTTTAATTTTAGCTTAGCCAAGTTATTCAGTTTGAATGAAATACTTTGGCATTGTATGCTAACGCTAGTCGTGTTAGTGTGGTTAAAATCTATAACTATATAGGTCTATTCACAAGACGACAAATAGCAAGCTTTTATACAGAGCAGTATGTGATTACTATGTACGTGTAATTTTGTAATGTGACGTGTTTTAACGCGTAATGCATATTGACGTGATCTACAATATAGTAGGCCCTAAGGGGTGCCTATACTGAAACATAATTCGCTTCGGCCGAGTGCAAAACCAACGATACATAGGTATGTACTTAACTGGCGAAGTGTAGTTTGTGAGTGTTTTGTACAAGATTTTCCTATGAAACCCTACACAAGATTCTTCCTATGAAACCCTACACGTAGCGTGAAACCAATTTTTTTCATAAGACAGATATTTGGCATGTAACCAGTAGCTAAAAGCCTTTAGAAACGGTGAAGGAAAACATCATGAGGATACCGGGGCTTCTAATTTCTAATTATGAGTTAGAAATCGCCAACCCACATTAAGCAAGCGTGGTGGTTAATGCTCAAACCTTCTCCGTGTAAGAACAGGCCTTGGTTCGTAATGGTCACATAATAATAATGCAGTTAATGGGGATGATTATTTATTGAAATAATACTGTAGTTATACAGTTGAATCTGATTTTATAATAGTATTATGTGTTATGCACAAACACTCGAACGGATTAGTGTAAGCCCGGATAATGACGAACGAACATGTAATTAAAGCTCTGATGGAGAGCGCATTGATTTGTTTTCATGTAAATTAATAGAAGATCATCGTAGTGTTGATTAATAATCAAAAGTAACTAATCCTTATTTAGGCACTTTGAAAAACAGAAAAGTAAATTAGCCGTCAGTCTGTCAAACTAGGTACTGATTCCAAAGTATTATATTCGAATGGAGAAGAAGTAACAAGAAACTACATCGTTATTCTTTTCACATAACATAACATCACGCTTTTTATCCTTGAAGGGGTAGGTAGAGTGTATGTTACGGCACTTGATGCCACCCTATAATGTAAGACCTATGTAAGAGTTATGAGCTTCATGTAATAGGGGGTGAGACTATTAACAAACACAATTCCAGACTCCGTGCTACTACTAATTTTATTTTAATACTAGCTTTTACCCGCGGCTTCGCTCGCGTCACAAAAGGATAAAAAGTAGCCTATGTGACATATACCAATACACACAGCGCCATCTATACCAATACTTTTGTTTTCCCTCGGGAATATCCATATCGGGGATAAAAAGTACCCTATTATTTAATCCAGACTACTAACTTTACATCTGCAAAAATTCAATGCAATCGGTTTAGTAGTTACGGCGTGAAGTCGGAACAAACAAACAAACAAACAAACTCACTTTCCGATTTATAATATTAGTATAGTATAGATAAACCCAGTAATACTTTGCCCGGTAGTCGCACTTGCGACCACTCGGTCAACGAGGCAGTTATTCTTTTTAATATAAGCTTTTTACGATCTCACTGAAACATTATTTGATTAACCTACCTATTGAACATGACCTACCTATTGTATGTAACGACAGTACTACGTCACAATAAACGATTGTTTCAAACATGGCGACCACGTGTACACTAACAATTTGAAATAATGCATCTATACAAATAAAAATCTTTATTCAAATCAGAAGAGAACGTGAGAACGTTAGATGCTATAAGATTAGTTATAGATTACATTAGAATTGAGCCATAAGTAAACTAATTCCAATTTAAAGCTAACACGAAATTCAATGTCACATATTAAAAAAAACTGAATAATTAAGTATTAGTGTTTTTAAATACGAAATAGGTACATAGATACAACTTTTTTCAATAGATTCTCAGCAACATGTTGGAATTGTTGACAGGGCATCAAACCCAGTAGTGTGTGGTCGACAATGAGAGGACCACTGCTGTGACGTCACACGTGTTTATATGCCAATCATATTTATTTGTGGACGTTACTGTTATTGTTTTGAAACTGTTATGACAGTAACAGATTTTGTCCCATCCTTTACACGAGTTAAAAACTAAATTACTATTTCATGTAAGTTAGCAGGTCCAGATTGGCGATATATTAAAGAAGGGCCAGATTAAAAGTACCCTTAACCGACGAGCATGCATAAAAATATTGATGACTGTTGATGAAGCGAAAGAGGTATGTAGGAATCGTAGTAATTGGCGTTCCCTAGTCTAGGCAGAGGCCTACCCCCATGGGAGACAGGCGCAGCCTACTATTTTTATCCAGCAGAAATAAAAAACCGTCTTCAACCTGGTTTCCCAGGAGATTAAATAACTCAGGTGTTCATAACTACTAGGCGATGGGTGAAAGGAGATCTTTCCAAGTTATGAGATAACTACACGTGATCCCTCTATTTAATGGAAAATCTTTTCAATTCCGCAGATAATAGGACTCAGTTCAATTGATACTGTCACGAGGGCAGACACGATTGTGGTAATTTAGTCCTGTGCCATTCCGACTATAGAGTCTATTTTTAGAGTGGTACAGTTTAAAGTTGTAGTACCAAATAAAATGACTATAAGTTGGTAGCTAAAATAATTATAAGATGTCATACAACAGTTTGAGAGAGATTGAGATATATTTAATCGTTACTAGCTGTTGCCCGAGCCTTTGTCCACGTAGAATATGATTCCTGTTTTATCCTATCACCTAAATCAACTCATACTCTGGCTGTATACTAAAAACCATCAAAATCCGTTCAGTAGTTTCAGCACCAATGAGGAAGAAACATCTAAACAAAGAAACTAATACATTTATAATATTAGTATGATTATTTGTACAATCAGAAAAGATTTTGTTCTGAACCATTTACTGAATTTAAAACTAAGTTTGTTTACTATAAATGTATAAAACTATTATATTACTTGCAGCATGTATGTAGTTAGGAGAACAGAGAACGACATGGGTTTATTTTATATGCTATGGGTCGACCTATCCTTTGACTATCTCGCTTGGTGGTAAGCGATGATGTGGCCTAAGATGGAGCACGTCTGCCCATAAGCAACCTATTCACTTGGATCTTGAAGACACGCAACAGAATACAGACTTTTATAAAGAACTCCACTCCTTAGCAGTTCGCTCGAGGCAGCTTGAAGCGAAGCAGTTCGTGTGAGTGGGTGAGACAATAACCATGGAACGGTGGCGCTTTACTAGTTGTATTGTGGTACGACGATGGAAAGGCCTAGGGGGAAGTAAGTTGTGCAATACCCCCCCACATTCACCGATATACATCCTCATGGCTTATGGGTCACCCCATAAGCCATGAGGATGTATATCAAGCAGTCAAAGTTATGAAAGTCAAGCAGTCAAAGTCGCGGGGAAAAGGTAATCTACTAAATAAAAATAAATCGTGTTTTCCTTCCTGACGCTATAACTTTAGAACGCACAAACCGATTTCCACGGTTTTGCATTCGTTGGAAAGGTCTCAGGCTCCGTGAGGTTCACTTTTAATCACCAAACGAAATGTTCCTTTAAACGAAGCCAGAGTTCGCCGGGTTTGCGAGTGTTGTATAAATTAGCTACATTTGACAAATCAGACCACCTGATTACAGCAATCACTAAGTGAGCACTCTTTGAAAAATAAAAAAAAACGATGTATTTTTTAATTAAGTAATAATATATTTGTCTTCAAAGTTGCTTACAAAATTATTTTTTAGCGCCTACCGCTGTGCCGCTTTTTCCTGCTACCCCAGTTTTGGATTTGGGGGTTGTAAAGAATGTTCTGTACTGAGGTATTTCTACTGGTGTTTCACCTGGTAGACCGCAGTTTACCAGTGTTTCCAGAGTTTTCTCTTCGTCCAATTCTCTCAAGACACACAACTGAGATATTAGCACAAGCCATTCGTCTCGAGTGATTTCAGATTTACTAAAAAAAAACAAACAACATAAATGAATGTATAAAAAAATTAGGGCTCTAGGAAACGTTTTAGATTGTGGATGCCACCTCTAAATTAGCTGCTTTAAACTCGACAAAAATGAAGAAAAAAAAAGTAGATTAGCAATAAAACAACAATTCTATATAAATGTTCTCGAAAAAAAAATAGTACCCGTATTCATTAAAAAGTATTCCGGTATCCGTCATAGTGACTTTTCTATCATCTATGATATTTGATTGCCTCAACCAATAGTCGGAATTATACAGTGTAATCGTTTCCCCAGTCCGGTTCTTACTATCGAAGAGCTTAGCAAATGCAAAAAACTGGCTCTCGATGGTCGCTTGTTCTTCCTCCATGGCCCAGGCTTAATTAATACTGTAACTAAATTATGAACATGGTTTTATGGTATAGGGCGCCAAACGAGCAGACGGATCACCTGATGGTAAGCAATTTACGCCACCTATGAACACCCGTGACACCAGAAAAGACGTGCCAGAGGTGCGTTGTCATCCTTTTAAAAATCAGTGTACAGGGATTTGGAGCCTAGAGAACAGTTTCATTAGGTTTCTTTTAGCATATCTGACACATATTTATATACCTCTACAATTCGTTTGTAAAAAACTTCAATATATCTGTCAGTTAGAGTAAAATACGCTTAGCGCCGATTTTCAATGCTCAGTCAAACTTTATCACAGGAATAACTTTGAATAAGTATTTGACAATTCGGACCTTAGCCGATTTTTCAATCATCAGCTGTTAATTTTTAACTGTAGAGTGAATTTGAGTTTTTAGTATGGAAAGATTGTCAAATATTCAAACTTATTCCTGAGTCAACATTTATCTAGCGTTGGAAAAATCAGTTGTTAATCAGATAATATGATACTGGCTTTATATTAGGTTTGTAAGACTTAAGCTTCATGTCCTGCAGTCCTACCAAACAGCCACAATATCACAATACCTCGAATCGTATCTAGAATAGTACAATACCTATCAAATACGATTAATTATTACCAAAACATTATGATGAGAACGGAAATACTAAATAATAAGCCATGATGGCAATCAGACACGTGATTATTATTAATACCTACAAAATACATAGAATAGTACCTATTGTTAAACATACTATAACTCATGTTTCCTATTCATTACCAAGATATACACAGACAAACAACAGTTTGTTTGTCAGTTACAATATTAACAGCTCGATTAGAAACAACAACAGAATAAATAATTTAGTCCAAATGATGCGCGTGCGCAACTAAAACGTTTGTAAACCTGCTTGAAATAGTAGAGGAATATGCGAGAAATTGAATTAACATATCGTCGAATAACAAACGAATATCTGTACAAATGTATAGAAACAAATAATGAACAACTATTTTGGTTATTTTCGGAAATACGAATTTACGTCACGATCGAACTATTGGTTTAAAATTGGCAATACTTCGCGTAACTACAGATAGTAAAGCGCGCAGCGCAGCGTTTTAAATAAAATATTTTTTGTAGATTGTTTGTTTTATAATCGAACTAGCTTTCGGCCCACGTGATTACAACAAAGCCTATACACTTTTCAGTTTCCTTACAATCTTCTGACACAAAAATGATACTACGAATGCACTCAGTACAAAAAAATCAAATAACCAAAGTTAACTCATTGACTAGTTGACTCATTATATAAAAATTTGCTACACACGCGCGATTTCACCCGCTCTGCTCTGCGCGTACTGATCGTAGTGTGATGTTCTATATTCTCTAGTCTTCCTCCACAAATGGACTATTCAACACAAAAAACTTTTTTCTAATCGGTCAAGGGGTTCCTGATATAAAATTAAATACTTTCGAAGATGTATTAATTTGAAATATCCTGTGACGTCACTACGTGCTACATTATGTATACTCCCAGTCCTAAACTTGACTCCAATTTATCTAAGTATTGTAACTTTACACGAAAAAATAAAAAAAATACGTGTTCAATATTTTTTTATTATCTAACAGCCGGCCTAATCAGATTTTTAAATTAATACCCTGGCATTTACTCTGTTGCAATATCGATTAAGTTTCTTTAAAGTTCTTTTGATCATATTACGAATAACCTATAGTTGGCTGCGGCACGGCGATTTAGCTTTGGAAAAGCATGGAAAAAGCCAAAAGCGATCCGCGCGTTGACAGCCTGTCGTATACTTTTTGTATTTGACGCTATGAAATGACATGACATAAGATTTAGCGCCGGTTTCACTACCTCCATATAAGTACCAGCAGCTGTAGCCAAATGCCGTTTAGCGCTTGTCTACTTGTAGAATGGAAAACCAAATTATATGGAGTTATTAAGTTGCGTTTGGCTAAAGGCACTGGGCCTTTAGCGCTTGTCTACAGAGAGAGTAGAAAACTAAATGAATGGGGATGACACTGACAAGTGTCAAAATTTACGTCAATCCCATATAATTTAGTTTTCTATTCTACATGTAGATAAGCGGTAAGTGGCTTTGGCTACAACTGCTGATAGACTTATGTGACAGATAGTTCATACAAATTACGTTCTTAATTCAAAGGATAAGTTAATAGATAGGTTGGAACTGGTTGGTACGATGCTGTTAATGTGCCATGACGATAAGTTCTAACTTTCTTCCTAACTACATTCCTGAGATAGGTACCTTTGTAAGCATGCCTAATTTGATTTGGTGTTCTACATTCCCTGTTAAAGTATTAGTTGCATAATTATAAACTTCCAATACTGAGGAATGTTTCAATTAACTATCTGAGACATGTTGTAACTTGTCCTATATGCAATTAGAAGTTATTAGCCAAGTATGTCCGTAATAAGTTACCCCTTTGCTTGGACAAAGTTCCATGGTTCATTTATTGGATTGCAGGTTATCAAATGTAGTGGTGACCCGGAGTTGGAGCGCTCGTTTCTCAGGTATAAGAGTTCAGGTTCGAAGCCTGACAGGTACCAACGTGACGTTTGCCAAGTTGCACACTTTCTAAAATTATTTTGACACCACTGACATAATTGGTGAAGAAAGGCATCGTTAGGAAACTACAATTTAAAATTTCTAATTACAAGTTCGTAATCGCCAATCCGCCTTGAGGAAGTGTAGTAATAGGGATGATAATGAGGTATGACCATAGGGTATGACGAATCAAAGTTTAGGACTAACAACGTCATTTCATGTACAAAACGTACATAGAAGTGACGGCACGCGATATTTCAAATCAATATATCGTCGAAAGTGTTTTTTTTTTGTTAGAAAGCAAAAAATAGTTAGGTACGTGTAATGTTAAAACAATCTACCAGACGCATAGTAAAATAAAAATTAGTCATCTATTCTGCTGATGTTTCTTCTCCGTGTGCCCTTGCCCAGCAGGGGGTGTCTATATAGCAGATATGTGTGTGGTGTGGGCTATAAAAACAATGCAGCTCAATAAAGGGAGTAGCGCAATGCAAACAGCGCCCGACCTCTATTGTAAACAAATTTTTTTTGTCAGCCTTTGATTTTTTTACCTTGCTTTTACGTAGGCTTTGCTTTTAGTTTATAAAATGCTTTGAAAATTTTATTTTACTGACAATTGATTGGCAAAAATCTAGCCGCTTTCACCGTGTCAGGTAAACAAAATAGTCGTGTTTTTTCATTCACCGTTTTTCTGTTTGTATTTGTTTAGCAAAGCTTTATACCTATATTGTTTTTTCATTTCACTCGGACGACTTTAGATTTATAAAATATAAATAATGTAAGCTTTGAAGCGTAAAGTTTTTGCCGTTTTATTTGTCTAGAAAGCAAATGCAGATGGAAAATGGAAAATCTAAACAACATCGCATTGTCGTCGCAGATAAAAGGGTTTTTTGTACTCCGGTATCTGGTACTACGTAAAAATAATTCCAAGTCCTCCTATTTGTTATTCTAGATCTGTTTTTCTAGAAATAATACAGAAATAATACTCTAAATGTCTGCTTACATTTATCGCTAAAGAAAATTTGCCTCGATGAAAATCGTACGGTAATTTTGTTTGCCTACGTATGGGGGCGAATGAGATATGCTTTAAAAAGTCAAGTTTGTTTTGTAGAGGTCGCTGTGTAATTCGTTTTGGTGTGCCGGCGAAAAATACGAATGTATGTGATACCTTGTTAGGCAAAAGTTTGTTTTTTTCTTTTACCGTTAGGTAGCAAGCAGAATTCTAGAAACATTCGACTACACCAGTCAGCCGCAGCCGCCACCGCAAAACTTACAGTCAAAGTAAACTTTATTGCTTTGTAACAAGGTGTAAATTGTTAAGATACGGGTGCTTCGGTCACAGAATAAAAAGATACGGTTGTTATAACTTCGTTGGGTTGTTATGATTACGGTAGATATTTCATTTAAAACTTTTTATGCTCTTATAATGAGCTGATCTAGACCTAAAGATGACTAATATAAGAGTATTTTCAGTCTCAATCAATCAGACATGAATATAGAAATAAATTTAATGGAAGATACCTATATTGTCATAGTCCGAAATAGTTTTTAAACAAAAGGACGAAAGAATATTAAAAATATTGTAATTGTAGCCACATATTTAGTGATTTTTTTTAAGCGGATAATCATCGAATGACTGCTCCCGCCTGGGTGAGCCGGGAGGGAGTGTCAGACTGTTACTGACTAAAAACCACCCCGTTCCTTCTCCTGCACGTCGAGCCGGAGCCCCGGTTACCCGTTAGGTTCTCCGCGACATATTTAGTGTAATAGCTCAGCTTCAATTTAAAACTCTGCACACATTTTCATAATAATACGTGCCATTATAGTACTGTTTCACTTACACAAATCTAACCCATTACATTTATACACGATTTTTCTAAGAAAACACTCACAAGTTGATAAAAAATACTAAAAATAGAATAAAAATAATCCAAAAATAAAATTGCGCGAACCTTGTATCGATACATCAAAGTCTGTTGTCAAGATATATTTTGAATCGATGACAGTGACATTTTGTAAAGTTGCCGTAGCAAGAAAATAATTTCCACACAAAACTAAAAAATTGTAATTTTAATGTGTAAATATGTGTAATATTCATTTTAGTTAAAATTTCCACTATGATCCGCAAATTGTTGTCCCGGGGTCTATGTGTCATGTGTATGTGAACAGAAGAAAATTTTGTGTTTAGTTATCCTTACTTCCTTAGTTATATCCTTCCTTACTTATATTATAAATGGGAAAGTGAGTTTGTTTGTTTGTTTGTTCCACTTTAACGCCGTAACTACTAAACCGATTGCATTGAATTTTTGCAGATGTATAGTTAGAAGTCCGGATTAAATAATAGGGTACTTTTTATCTCGGAAAAAATTGATATTCCCGAGGGAAAACAAAAGTATTGGTATAGATGGCGCTGTGTGTATTGGTATATGTC